AAAAACAAACCAATTCCCACTAGACACCACCACAAAGATATAACAAATAACCTATAACAACTGAACACTAGGAGTATCATCAAGTAAGGCTTCTACAATTAGTGTCAATGAAGAAATCACCAGCAAACGAAAGGTCATAATCCTTCCACAGGGACCACAAAGTCACTAAAGACTCTCAAAGCAATGAAGTACAGCCAAAACCTGAAATACCTATTAACAACCACAAAGAAAGAGTAAAAAAGGAAAATAAAATTAATCACACCAAAGACCCTTGTCAAAAAAAAAAAATCAGATGGTGGGCTTGGGCCCACATCCATGTTCACTATAGGAAAGGCCAAGATTAGAGACTAATCCAGCCCTATCACCAACATAGTTATGAGAATTATGAAATTTGGTATGGGCTTGCCACTTGATGTTCAAATTGCTTGGCACATGGAGATTGTCATTACATGGATCAATATGGGCTTTTTTGTGGGCCCAATATCAAACGATATCCATGTCCTCTTTTTTTTTTAAGTGATGCATAATATTAAACCAGATAAATATTTACAAAGTTCTCTACTCAGGGTATCCCATCTGGGTAAGAAGGATAAACAAAAAAGTCAAGATCATGAGTTTTAGCAAGATGGGATACTTTATGGGCAGGAACATTAAAGTTACGAGATACAAAACAGAATTTGACAAGAGGTTTTTAAATCAAAAGCTCCCTAATCCTATTCAAAATCCAAAGGCAAGTCTGGGGAACTTCTGATTGTCGCTGAAGAGCATCTACTACTTGTTTGGCATCTGATATAACATAAACTTTGTTACAGCTACAAGAAGAAAGGTTTTCCATAACCTACAAAATGACAAACATTTTAGCTTGTATTACAGAAGAAACATTTGTAGTTCGGCCATCTATAATGTTTACACAAGTTAAATTGGGTGACAAAACTATGCAACCAAAGCTGTAAGAGGTATTGTCTATTTTCCCTGCATCAGCGAAAACAATAAGTTTTGTGTCCTGTGCCATGATAAGAGTGTAATTCTTAGAAGTTGATGCAGTATTATCAATAGAATTAATAACAGGACCTTGCACTTGGGGGGGGGAATTATAGATTTGGTTTATGTGTTGCAAGAGATATAAAGGTTGTATAAGCGTTCCTCTAAAACATTTCTCATTCCTAGCTAACCAAATAAAGTACAAAGCAATTGACACCCAAGTTAAATTTTTCTTTGCTAAGGGAATGTCCTGAACATGTTGAAACTGATTGTATATACCTGTTACCCAAGAATTTTGAAATCTATTTAGAAAATTGATATTCCATGGATTGCCAAAAAGAACTACTTAGGTGTAGGAGCAGTTCAGGAAAAGGTGTGTAATTGATTCCTGGTGAGATTCACAGAAAACACAGTTCTTTTAATTGTCCTCAAGACTGAGATTTTCTTTGACTGGAATATACCCATTGACAATTCTCCATAAGAAAAGCTTGAATCTTGGAGCAGTATCTAATATCCAAATGTGTTTAAGACTGAATTGAAATTCTGGAGAGATTGGGTTGAAGCAGAGAGATTTTGACCTGATAATCTCTTTTTGTTGTAAATTGACCCGAAGAGTGAGGGAGCCAAATCCAGGAAACTGGGTTTGAATATGTGAAAATAAGGGTTGCCTGAATATAGTGAGCTTCTCTTGGAGAGAACAGAGAGTTTATGAGGGTAGAGTTCCAGTGACCCTGTTGAAGAAGGTGGGAAATATTCATGTGCTTGATATTAGGGGCTAAGGGGAGAGGAATCCAGGAGAAGGATTGGTTATTCTGAATCCAGGGTCGATGGGAGAGCGGAAAAACTGAATTGAAGTTAATCAGGGCCCCACATTCAGAGGCTAATTCTCTGATTTCTAGGCTAATGGATTTCCAGTAGATGGAGCCTCTAGTAGGGATAGAAGAAGGAAAAAGGCTTTTGTTCCTAAGATATTTAGATTTCCATATTTGAGCCCAGAGTTTATGTTGTTCATTGATATATTTCTAGGCTACTTTCTTTAGTAGACTTTTGTTAAATAAAGTTAGGTTTTTAAAGCCTAATCCTCCTACATTTTTTTGGGAGAGTTGGTTTATGCCAAGCACACCAACGATAAGGGTGGGAGTTATGATCAGAGGCATTCCACCAAAACTAACGAAAAGTTTTTTCGATAAGATCTATAGTCTTTTTAGGGAATTTGATAAGTGGCATGGCATGGATGGGAATGGCCTGAAGGACTGATTGGATTAGGACTTGTTTAGCTTGGCTTATTGCTGAGGCTCTCCATCTATTTAGATTTGCTCCAATATTTTCCAGAATAAAAGTTAGATTCGCATGTTTGTTCCTGGACCAGAAAAGAGGGAGTCCCAGATGTTTGGTATTGTTTGATAAAGGCTTCATGTTAAGTTGACGTCTGATCATTCTTTGAAGCCAGGGTGAATGTTTTTACTGCAGTAAATACCAAACTTCTCAAAATTAATTAGTTGGCCCGAGACATTTTGGAAAGTAATGAGGATTTGGTTGAGATTATTAATTTCCAATCCAAATCTTTTTATAGTAACTAATGAGTCATTTCACACTTTCTACAATCACTGAAATTTCGATTACCGACTATGGTGGGAGTGAGGTTTGCAAATTACAAAGTTTCCCTTCTATCATATCTCTACCGGCGGAGGTTCATGTTCCTTCTTTGGAGAAGAGCTTTTCTGATGGACAAAGTATTTTGGCGAGGAGGCTTTGTGGAGTCCAAAAAAATGTAATTGACAGTCAAGCAATCAAGCAAAAATAATTGTTCCTCCATTAACCGCCCCAATATATGAAGCATAATGAAACAATAAGACGCCAAAGGTAGTAACAACACTCAATTTGCCGACCAAAAAAGTTAGCCCTCTAAATAGATTCAATGCCAGTCATGCTATTAGTAGCACTCTCAAACCTGAAACCTTTGAAAAAATGTTTAGCACCATTTAATACATATGATAGAAAAATGGGTTCACATCTGCATCCCACAAGGGGGCACCCCACAACTTCTCACAACACATCCCCGCTGTGTATTGGGAACATCTCCCGATGATGACATCATCGGTTCTGGTCTATCATCTGGAGATGTTCCCAATACATGGCGGGGATGTGCTATGGGACGTTGTGGGGTGCCCTCTTGTGAGGCATAGATGTGAACACTAGAAAAACATTCATGTCACCTTTGATCATCGATCATTGTAGTAACTGAATTGAGGTGTTGCATTTCTTAATTAGAATGATGATCATCTCCGACGTAATTCACATAACCATTGGTGCTAAAGACAAATCCAATAGAAATTGCTCCATGACTGCCTTCAAGTCAAATATCCCATTGGAAATTCGTTTGCAAGCCGCACAATGAAGTGTCTTCAATGATCAACCATGGTTTGCAAAGAAGTATATATCATAACAAACATTGGTAGATGCAATGGGAATAAAGAGAGTATCTACACTAAAAGCAAGACAAGTTGTTTCTCTTCCATATCTCCACTCTTCATAATCTTCCATAGCCTGTACAAGATAACATGAGAAGAAACTAGACTAGTGATATTGCTTATCAATAAAGCAGGGCTGTAAACATCCTAAACCTTTATAGATACATTTCGACTAGGCAACAATACCACGAAAGGAAAGAATAAATAACTCACAAGCCAAGGCTAAGCTGTAAGGCAAAGACTCGCATGTGAGAATGCAAGAGGGAAAACCATCCCGTGAAAAAAGATGGAGGAAAACTCATAGGGAATCCTGTGGGAGGGAAAACTCAAAGGAATCCTGTGAGAGGGAAAACGTTAATAGCTATTTTGTTGATGGGTTGCTAATCAAGTTTTTTTTATTAATAATTAAGATTTGTGGATGAAGTAATGCTATAATTGCTGTTAGGGGTGCTCACATTTCGGTTAACCAAACCATGGGGCATTTTTTGGAACCGAACTAGTACTATTGAGTTTTGGAAAACCGGTAACTGGAACCGAACCAAACTGAAGCCGGTCAATTAACCGTCAGTTCGGTTCATCAGTTTTTTGTTTTTGTTTTTTAATTTTTATAATATATATTATAAAAATATATAAATATATAATAAAAAATAAAAATATATATGAAATATTATATTTTAAATAATAAATAATATATAATATTTTATAAATACATATTTATATATTATGCATATTTATTAATTTATAATATATAAAAATATAAAATATAAAATATAAAATATAAAATATATAATATACATACATACATACATACATACATACATACATACATACATACATACATACATACATACATACATACATACATACATACATATATATATATATATATATATATATATAAAAGATATATATAAAAGATATATAGAAATATTTGTATACTGGTCGGTTAGGTTAATCGCCGGTTTTCTATATTGGTTAACTGAAACCAAACTGGTGCCTTTGATTTTTTAAAACTGAATTTTCAGTTTGATTTTGGTTTATTTTTTCGATCAGTTCGATTTTTCGTTTTTTTTCTTGCTCACCCCTAATTGTTGTTCTTTCCACTTGATTTGGAATCAAAATTAGCGATAATCTATTAACTAGTGTGAAACCAATATGCGAGTTTTAAGAGTTTATAGACAACATATCCGGAGTGTGGAAGAAATGACACTCTAAAAGGAGTCTAGATCAGATCCTCACAAGGTTTTGCTCACATTGACCTTATAGAATGTCCCAACCACACATCGGGAACATTTTTCATATTTATATATTATTATTCATGGGAAGATGTTTGCAATACATGGTGTGTGAGGCAGGTTTATTGTCAAAAGAAGTGTTTATTTTGAGAATACATACTTATTTGAAAAGTCCAAATTTTAAACTTATTTTTAAGTATTTATTCAATAAGTACTTTTTTTTTTTTATTCTATCTTGGCGTATCTTGGCCCGCTATATCATTTTGAAAAATAAGTGTTTTTTCACAAAATGCTCGTAATTATTGAATATCAATAAGGACTTTCAAATAAGCACTCCCAAGCCCGAGCGAATCAAACCATCCCCAATTCCGAAGGTAGTCGTCACGTCGTCACGTCGTCACGTCGTCAATTCTCGCCTTCCAAAGACATCACCACAGCTGCATAGCAGAAGCAGACTTCCACACCGAATCCTCATCCATGGTTTTGCTTCAATCCTCTTCAGGGTCGCCTATCTGTTCCCTTCTTTTGCCTCCTCGTTCTCTTTCTTTTTCCAGAAATTCCATTTTCTACTCTAAACACCGCTTCAAGTTCCCCAGAAAATCTATGTCCATCTTAGCCTGTTCTGCTCCTAACGCTCTTCCGAAGACCGAGCAGGAATTCATGGAAGCCGTAGCCAAGGCCGATGGCGATGAGGAGAACAGCCTTCCTGCTGTGAGATCCTACGAGAACGACTTGGGTCGGCTTACTTTAATCGGCGGGGTCGCTTTCCAACAAGCTTTAACTGCTGCAGCTGCTGATGGTGGGGGAGCTGCCGACGAGCATATTGCTTCTGGCATGCCTACCATGGTCGTTGAGACTGTATTTCCTGGCCCATCAGACGAACATAGCACTGTCTCAACCAGACTGGTTAGTTCAATTTCATGGGGTTTCTTCCCCTTAATGGCGCATTCTCTTGTTTGTGCAATCTTTTTTTTTTTTCAAGTTCAACTCTGTCACAGATGCTAATCTCAGTTGGTTTACGTTTTATTATTTGAAACCATAGAATGCTCAAATTTGGATTTACTATGTGGTAATTCAAATCTAGACGGAATGTTAAGCTCATACAAGTTGGTTATGCATCCATTCTCTGATGCTAATCTCTGTCACAGATGCTAATCTCAGCCTTGCACCTGTTTTAAGGATTAGGATTGGCTTTTTGACACTTTATCTAGCCTTTAGGTCTTGATAAGTATTGTAGGCTTTGGCAGTAATATTTGGAACCAGGGAAAAAGAAGACGGTTAATGATCAACATGCACAATACTCTGAGCGTCAACTAAGCAAGGCTTCATGCTAGTAGAATCATATTGGATAGGACACAAGAGCTCTCGTTGTCATCACAAGAGGATGGTAATGTGAAAACATTTGTTTGTTTCTAATGGTAAAGGCCTCAAATAGGAGCCTAGTGGTTCACCATAGGAACAAATATTCCCTACTTTAGTGTCCCAACTCTGAAGAGTGCTATTGATAACATCAGATTTCAATCACATCATTGATATGCTAAGATGGGTATGTTTACTACCTAAGTTATAATTGCTGAGCACCTGTTCCGTCCAAAAATCTCACAGAACATTATACGAACTGTAGCTTCACCTGGTTTCATCATGGTCTATATGCATGAACCAGTCCATGTGAAATGGTGGAGTGGTATGATAATAGGTTCTAGCAAAATGGTTGCGTCTTTCTTGGTTCATCGTGGAATACTTATATCTTAAGGGCGAAATTTAAATCGTAATTAACGGGCTAAGTTTCTATATGCATATAAATGCTGCTCAAGTTATTGAGGAAGACAACTCAGTTGTTGGTTTATTGTTTGTTTCATAATCTATTGGTAAAGTGAGCTGTTTTTTTAGTCATGTAGATAGGAGAGTTACACTTGATGACCCAAGAAATCTTCAAAGATGATCACAGAAATGTCCAATATTATATATAACCTTCCATTCCATAACCTATTGTAGGTCAGTTGGAAATTAGAATTAGTTATATGGTGTATAAATTTAATTTGATCATTTTAAAAGCTATTTTCTTCTTCTATCTTTCAACTGCTGTCTAGGAATCTACATTGAAGTTCTGGTTCTGTAGCAGAACCAAGGTTCAAATTATCGATACGATACACCCCATATCGGGCGTATCGTATTGTATCATGAGAGTTCCGATACACCTTTTTAAAGGTGTTTTCAGGAACCCTTTATTTTATTATTAAATAATATAAAAATATCTATAAAAGTGAAATTTTGAAAAAAAAAGGCACATGGTTTAAAGTACCAATACACCCCTTCCAATACATTTCAGTGTATCGATACTTTAAACCATGAGAAGAACATAGAAAAGTTTAAAAATTTAAATATTTATTGCTTGTTTCTAATTTGCGCAATTTCTGCATGGGTTTAGAAGTATGTTTAGTTCAATCTTCTCTAGGATTTTGTTTCAGTAACACTCTTCTAGGACATTATTCATAAAAAAAAACACTCTTCTAGGACATTGTTGCATGTCTACTGTCTACAAGAAATTGCTCAGATTTTCATAATGCATCCAGAGTTATTAATCTTATATTAGGTCTTAGTTATGGCAAGTGGAAAGGCTGAATAGAACTTATGTAGCTATTGGGACAAGATCATGCTAATTTGAGATTGATCACCAAAAAAAGGATCCTGTTAATTTGAATACTACAATTCCAAAATGTTTTTTTTTTTTCAAATAACAGAATTTGTATTCATTCATTAAAGGAAGCCTATATGCAAATCCATAAATTTAAGATTGCAAATCTAGACATAAAGGGTTTTGTTTCAAATGGAAAGCATGTAAAATGATACTGCTTGTTGTCTTCAACTGTGATGATCGAATGATTTGCTTATACAAATTCCATGTCCATCTGAGCATCCAAGGTGGTTAATCTTTAGTCATATTCACGAGTGGAGCCAGATTTGCTCCTGGGTTGGGGTAGACCTAGTGCTGAACAGACAAGAAAATACAGAGACCTGGTTCCAACACAGACCCTATACCCTATAGGGTCTGGGAGTAACAAGTTGATAACCAACCCTGTTGTTAACCAGGTTTATCAGGTCTAGTCTGTTAAGATTGATTGCAACTAACCCACTAAATATAAAATTTAACCACTGGAACTAGGACCCATCCCAGATCCTACACAATAGGTCTCCCCTTTCCTTTTTTCTTACAATGGTGCCCAGAAAATTTGATCTTGTCCCACCCCTTTCTTTGCTAAAGTATCAGTTGCATGGTTTTCAAGGCACCAAGGCAAGGCTAGGTGACAGGGGGGTGCCTTGTTGCCTAGGTGACGGATTTTTTTAAGTAAAAGTAACATATATCCTAGGGTAGTTCTCTAGGTTCCATAACCTTATTTCCTTAATAATTATCCATAATTTTCATAAGAAAAGTATAATCTTTGTATTAAAGTATAGAAAAGCAACATATTCGTGAGAAGAAAAAGAAGAAAGAAAAGAAAATTCAAAAATATAGGGGCTGAACCCCTATTTTTTGTTGTAGGAGAAGAAGAAAAGAAGAAAATATGTTGATTAGACAAATATTTAAGTTCTTCTTTACTTATTGGTTCAGGTTTTGAAGTCTTTGAGGTTCAATACAACAGTTAGCAATGTCTGTGTTGATTAAACCCTAACAAATAAGAAAATAATAAAAAGAGATTAGTATATAAACACACAAAATGAATATTTTAGTTTAATAATGTCTATTTTATAATTATAATCTCAAAAAGTTAAGAATATAAAAGTATTTTATAACACTATACAAAACTGCTTGGTGAGCCTCCAAGGGTGCCCGCCTAAGCATTGCCTTGACAACTACGATCAGTTGTGCTGTTAGCAGTCCCTTTTACCCATTGAAATTTTACTTTCATGTCTTCAGTCAGCCATCTGAATTCTTTATCTCATTCCTATATGACCAAAACTCTGCTTCCCTGCTCTGTAACCATCCTCCCACCAGTCTAAAATCTTCTTCAATGATCAACTTTTTTATATTCATATACCTTTTTTTTCTTTTTTTATTGGAAACAGTAACTTTCATTAAGGATATCAAATAAACATCTTACACTGTCAACCACTCAGACAAAGAGTATTGACCCCAAAACAACATCAAGAGTTACAGTACAGCCCAAAAAAAGTTTTCCCTGAATGTCCCCTGTTTTGCCAAGCTATCTGCTACAGAGTTTGCTGATCTCCTATATTCATATACCTTACCCTTTGCATTCCTTCCATCACAACCATAATTTCCACCCTTAATGAGTTTCCTACACCAATCAGCCCCATAAAAATAACAGCAATATGCCCTTCTTCATTCCTGCAACATCTGCCAGTCCTGAATTCCCCGGGCCTCCTATACTGCTGCCATCAAAATGAAGTTTAATAAAAAATATTAAAATGTAAGTTAAACAACTATGAATAATATCCTTATTGAGGATGTTCCTGCAACTTGCTTCCATTTTCTAATGATGTCGTCAGTTGATATTTTTAATAGTTCCTGACAGATAATATTTGCTCTTTGCAGTTCTTGTCAGCCAGGAAAGTTAAAGAGAAGGCCAGGAAGCTGAGAAGCACTCTGACTGCAGATGTGCTGTCTGGTACTACCTCTCAAAATATACTTACCATGACATTTAGACAAGTAGTTCTGCAACAGCTTTGGAGTTTTGAACTGGTAGTATTTAGTCCTGGAACTAAGAGAAACATGGGAGATCTTGAGAGTCCAAGAGAGGTTATAAGTCCTTATCTCTTATGCTTCTTTATTTCCATATCTACCACACCCTGTCATAATATCATATAAATCTCTGCCTTGCAGGTACCACATGGTACTGATAGGTTCAATTCTCTTATGCCTTTCCTACCAGCAGGTTCCCGTGTTTTTCACTCTAAGCTCATCAGATGGACAGGTGCTTTCCATGCTTGCAGAAGCCATTTGCAAGTTTTCTCTTGAGTGCACTGAAAGTGATTTCCTTGAGAACTCATTGGGCAAAACGTCAAACAATATTTTTCAATGGTTTCACAAGTCCAAAAGGATAGATTGGAATGGCTCTTCAGTTTCCATTTATGAAACATTTGAAGATGAGATAATAAAAAATGCAAAGGATTTGTTAGAAAAATTTAATGCAATGAAGGCAGATTATAGGCCTAAAAAAATTAAGAACCACTGGTGGATGTCATCGACATATTCCAAAATGGAAAAAATTGGTGGTCCTGAGTTCGGTAGTTGGATAAGTGAGTACATCCCTGCTTACAGGTTGCAGATTGATGCTGCTAAGCTTAAAAATGTAAAGTTCGAAGGCTGGAAAAGGTCTGGTGATAATAGGTGGGAAGTTCTTTTGACCCACTCCCAAATGGTATTTTTTCTTCCTTCACATCCCTAGATTTTTATATTTAGGAAACTTTTATGTTGTTATTGAACATGAGGAAAGTCATGGGGCATCTTTTGTATGTACTTATACTTTTTTGCTGGGTCATATACATGTTTGATAATATAATATTGTTGCTTCGTACTTGTGTTGTTTAAATACTAATTAACACATCTAACCATTGTAAGGGTATTTGTGCCCCATTCTATCATGTATTTTATGTGTATGTGTGTTTCTTGTTCTTCATCATAATTCCTCAATCAGCATCAGTACTCCACTGTTGAAGTGTTGATCATCATCTGGTGCCATTCTTGTAATAGTAAGCTGAAAATTATATTTTTAGTTTCTTTTCCTTTTACTTATACTTTTTTTAATTATTCCCATGCAATTATTATATTTCATTTCCTAGTCATAGGCTGATGGTGAGAACTTTATGAGCTTCAAATCTTTTTCCACCTTTCATTCTGAACTTTGACCTCTCCCTCCATTTTTTCTGCGTTTCCATGTAAAAGTTGAACTCATGAACTACTTACTACTTACCCCCTAGTTGTTTGAGGGTTCCAAATATTGCTCAACTTATCCTAGTTAAGATCATCACAAGTCCACAAACTTCTTTCTATCTTCCTCTATCGTTTGATTTCTTAAATCTTTTTCTCCTCATTCTTCCCCTTTAGTGCTTCTAAGAGATTGTTTTGATGCTTTGAAATGGTTGTCTACCTACTAGCAATAATGATAGTGTGGAATGGATAACAACCTGATATTCTCTGTACCAAAGCGGGTGATGTTTTAATTAAAGGGATGAGAGATCCATACCCAGATTCGCCCCCTATTTAATTAATCATATTAAGCCCAGTTCGAATTGGGCTTTAGGCTCATTAAGCTTTCAGGCTCACTTCCTTTAATGCTGGTTAGCTTGACTCTCTTTGTATGGCGTGGGACCCTATCATTGATCTCTACATAAACCACATGGGTTTAACCTACCCTTTGTTACAAGGCCTGACCGAATTCACTGCTGAATACAGTGAACCCCTGAATCCATCAGTATGAGCCCTTAATGGGCCCAACATTTACACTAAATGATCATTGAATCCAACCATCTTATGAAGGCCCAAGAACTGTAGGCAGATGTGAGATTAGCCCATCAGGTTTATTATCCCTAAATGGTCTTACACCAACTTCTTAGCCCTTAATGATCATACACTGCCCGACAAGAAATGACCTTTCCCTCGACTACAAGGTATAGTGTTGCACTCTCTACTCACATGGATCCCGGGAATTAAAACCTTTTTGCAAACATTTTGTGAAACCATAATATATATGTGTATCTCTATATAAATATATTTTGCAAAAACAAATCTCAACAATTTGAAATCAACTGCCAGCAGTTTAGGTTTCTATTAAAGAGAGTGCATTCCCTGATCATTCACTTTATTGGACAAAGTGAATTCTCGAACTGTCTCTACATACTCAGGTTTTGACCCCCTCTAAGGATCTCACTGATTGGCATATCACAGACAGTCCAATACAACACCTAGTGCAGTACCATAATCGAGTCTAGGGGTCAGGTGTAACATTTTAGTTTTACCCATCTATCTCCAAGGTCTAGGACAATGTTGGAATTTGGTCCGGTTTAGGGTTTCAAGAAAACCCACACTGCATGTACCTCAGGTCTCACCCTGACAGCTGAGACAAGCCACCCCAACCCACTTGGCGGCACATCAGTGTTAGCCTTGGCAGGATAAATCTCCCTAGATCTATCCAACAACTGAAGATTCTAAACTAACACGAGTCTCATAAGTGTCTAGTTTAAGGGTATTACATAGAAACACACCAATATAACATGAATCAAATATGTACTTTATTCATTTATAATAAATGTCATAATGTACATCAAGTTGATTAGAGCTAAGGGCATACACTGTCTAACATTAATACTTAGATGTGCATGGATAAACAACCTTGAATAGAGATTGACTTTTCCACCTTCTTCATAAAGGTTTTTAGTCCATAGGATTTATTTGGAACATACAGATTCTCTTTTGGATTCAGTATACCAATCTTAGATGGTCTTGGTTCATGACCATATTATTACATGTTTGGTAATTCATGAGCAGAGAATGGAACTTCATATATACAGTTGGAGATTGCAATTTATTCAGGGTCTGAAATTAATTCATTCACTAGCTTGGTCTAATCAGATGGTTGAAAGGGATTGCAAGGTACTCCTCTTCTGGGTGGAGAATAGGAGGATTCTTGATTGTTCCAACAGCTGATCAGAGAAGCCATTCATTGGCAGCCAATCTGAACTGTTCGTTCAGATGGACACCTTGCTCATCTAATCCAATAACGGATGCTCTTGCTAGGGCAGGAGCAACCACAGAACAGCTTTGTTGGGGGATCCAGGGCTAGGCAATAATGTAAATCCAACCTAGTTGAATTTGAAACTTATGGGTCTGTCATGTAATGCTGTTTGTACTACCTTCTGTGTCTCTTTTTGAAGACAGAATTGTTCTTTTTCACAATTAATGCAATTTACTGTTACTGATCAAAAGAAAAAAAGGCTCCTAAGCATTCTTCCAATCATACCTAGAGATGGATTGACTTCAAAGCTATGTTATACTCCCAGAAACCCTTAGAGAAATAGATCTTTCTTTTTAATAATTTGCCTATTACAAATTTAACATGAATTTGTTCAAAGGAAATAATTGCTACAGTCAATACTGACTAAATTAAATCCTAAAATAGCAGAACTTTAACTTAAAAAATTATAAAAACTTCAAATAGAAAATCCCATCAATAAATAATGTGTTATTTGTAATTAGCCATAATGGTTAAATCCATGCCCAAATTGCACAATCTTGGGCTAGTTGGAAGATGTTTCTTATTAGCAACATGATTCAGGAGGTTCTATTAATTATAAGAAAAAACAGCCCTGCTGGTAAAAGCTAATAGCAAGGAATAGTTGGATAAGCAATAATATAATCCATCTCAGCTCAACTCAGCAAGGCCTGATTCCAATTATATGAGATTGGCTGCATGAGTGTTCCATTCTATCAAGGACTATATCCTTGCCATGTGCTTGAAAGTTGAAAATAAATTATTTAGGCATGGGATTGAAAATGAAAGACAAGCTCAATATTAGTAGAATGGATTTAGTAAATTATCATGCTACATCAAAGTCATGCTAATTGTCAAGTTTAGATTCCTTATATTTAGGCCATAAGTTGAATGAAAATTGAAAGTTTTGGTTCAGGTCCAGATTATTTGGAAATAAACTTTGAATATCATACCTATTAACAACCGAATAGAGGAGAAGAGAGGAAGAAGAAGAGAAGAGAGAGAGGAGAGAAGAGAGAAGAGAAGAGAGTGTTTTGGAGTCAACATCTATTGCTGGTGGCGCCAGTTTATATTAATATATATAGGGTGACCATAATTAAAAGGGAAATGACCCTTATGCCCCTACTTAAGTTACAATATAAAAAACAAAGAAAAAAACTACTTTAACTAGTCCAAACAGACCCTAACTCAGCATAATACAAACATAAGAAATAAAATTAACAATTCCAACACTCCTCAAGTTGGGACATGGATGTCAATCATGTCCAACTTCTCACACAAATTATTATGCCACACATGATGAAGGCCCTTGGTAAGATGTTTGCAAGTTGTTCCTTTGAATTGACATATGGAGTGCACATTTCTCCGCTCACAAGTTTTTCTCTAATAAAATGCTTGTCCACTTCAATATGTTTTGTTCTATCATAGAGGACTAGGTTAGCAGCAATATTGATAGCAACTTTGTTATCACAGTAGAGTGACATAGGTTTGTTAACTGCAAAACCTAGCTCTCCTAACAAGTTTTTTATCCACATGATTTTAGCAACTCCATGAGATATGGCTCTGTATTCTGCTTCAGCATTGGATCTAGCCACCACACTTTGCTTCTTACTTCTCCAGGTGACTAAGTTTCCCCCCACAAAGGTACAATACCCACCGGTAGATTTTCTGTCATCGATTGCCCCTGCCTAATCAGCATCTGTATACACCTCCACTTTCAAATGCCTTTGTTTCTGGAATTGCAAACCAGCTCCTGGTAACTTCTTGAGGTATCTAAGGATTCTTTTTGCAGCTTCAAAGTGAGTTGTCTTAGGGTTATGCATGAACTGACTAAGGATACCCACTGCATAGGCAATATCAGGTTTGGTCATAGACAAATATAAGAGCCTCCCTACAAGTCTCTAAAACTTCTTCACATCTTTCAAACACTCCCCTTGACTGTCTCCTGGCTGATGGTTGGGTTCAATGGGTGAATCAATTGGTTTCACTCCCAACTTGTCTGTATCCTCTAATAGATCTAGTACGTATTTCCTTTGGGAAATAAAGATGCCATTTTTAGAGTGGGTAACTTCAATTCCAAGGAAATAACGTAAGGGGCCTAGATCTTTCACCTCAAATTGACAGGCTAGGAATTTCTTCAGCTTTTGTATTTTAGTCTTTCAATATCCGGTGATTACTATGTCATCAACATACACAATTAAAGCTGCAATTCTCCCTTCACCTTTCTTCACAGAGTATGATCTGATTGGCATTGTTTGAATCCCTTCTGTTGTACAGCTAAATGAAACCTACTAAACCAGGCCCGAGGTGATTGCTTCAACCCATATAATGATTTTTTTAACCTGCACACCTTCTGCTCACTACCTTTGGCATAGAAACCTAGAGGTTGAGTCATGTAAACCTCATCCTCTAGGTCACCATTCAAGAATGCAAGTGAAGTCCCATCAAGGTTAGCTGCCAACGAAAGGAGGATTCTGATCAAATTCATGTTGGCTACTGGAGCAAAGGTCTCTGCATAGTTTGCTCCATACACTTGTGTAAACCCTTTGGCCACCAATCTAGCTTTGTACCTTTCTACCGAACCATTAGCTCTATGCTTTACTGTGAATACCCACTTGCAACCCACTAGTTCCTTTCCTTCAGGAAGATCC